GGTGCAAGTCATGGAAATTAAAATTGCAACCAACTAAAACAGAAATGATCCACTTCACCATTCATCCAAGGAAGAAGTATAAACATCCAGTGGAAGTTAAAGTTGATAATACAATTATTAAACCACTGGATCATACAAGATACTTGGGTGTCATTATAGACAAACGATTAAATTGGCGTCGACATCTCGATCACATCGAAACCAAGATTGCTCCTCGGATCGGTCTACTTCGATATGTATCGAGAACAGCATACGAACCCAACAGCAGGACGATGATCAACATCTTCAAATCAATGGCACGCACAATCATTATATATGGTTACCCGGTACTATTAACTGCTGATCAACATGTATGGAACCGAATACAGATCATTCAAAATAAAGCACTTCGAGCTGCACTAGGTCTACCCATATACACGTCAGTCGACTACATCCACAAAATTAGTAATATTCCAAAAATCAAAGATTATGCAACAACATTACTAAAACAGTCCATCCAAACAGCAACAACAAAAAACGATATTACATCGAAGAAACATCTTCAAGATATACTTGAAAAAATTTCATGAAAAAATCACCAACCTACTATACAATATCATCCTCGAGAAACTTGATTATTGTTGGGTCAACCGAATCTGTATGAAAATTGTTATATCGGACTCGTATACGTAGAGTTTTTTCATATATAGCGAGAAATGAGTCAACTTATTTGCTGACTCGTTTTTTTCCACTCAGCTATTTCTTTTTCCTATCGTTTATTTCTTTTTTTTGCATTTGTATTATGAAACAACGATAATACAATGAAGACCAATCAACGTTATATCCACTACTACAAATACCACATTATCACCATATCATACACAGGAGTATAAAACGACCAAATTAAACTTCGAGACAAAAGACTTATGTCATGTGTCTCATTTTGTTTCTTTTCTTTTTCAGCTTTTTTTTGACAATACTGTATGTTGTTTTGTTTCTGTTTTTGCTTTTATGTTATGTGCATGCATTGTCATATTTCCATCAATAAAAAGCGATGCTACCAAAAAAAAACAAAAAAAAGAAGTAATTTTCAAATTTACTCTACGTAAATCTGAAACCTACATGACTAATAGTGTCACGCTTGAAGTTGCATCATAAAATGTTTCTTCCTTCCATATGTTACGCATTGAAGCGTCATATTAATCATAAACGTCATTATTTTATAAAGTTACAACTTGGAAAAACTAAGCCAAACACATATAAACAGCTCTTTAATACATCAATTACAATAATAGGAAGAAATGGGAAATTTTGGTGTATGTTTTTGTCTATGTATCATTCTGATTCCGTTTATCATATGGGGTTCAGTTTCAACTGCAGCTTATGTACGCTATCGAAACATTCATAAAAGTCATACAAATACAACATGTCTTCTACTGAATTATACAGTACACCAACATGAATGCGAAAATTGCGACAGTGAGTCATGCACTTACTACACATGTTACGATGAACGATTTTTAGTAAAGTATCCTATTTCGAATGGAACATTTATAACAGGTACATCTGCAAGTTTCGATAGGGATGAACCACATAAACAAACACAAGTATAGATTATTCTATTCTTATATTATAATAAGATCTTTTTCTTCTATGTATCATTTAGATTGGTAAAAGCTACACTTGTTTCTATAATCTAATAGATGTTACTTCTGCTATCATGGAACTTCCAAATGAAAAAACTAAATTGATTCAATTATGCATTGCTTTTGGGCTAGTTGGTTTACCTGTTTTAGTGATTTTTTCATGCTTAGTGTATCTTCTGTCAAGTAAAATCAATCGTAATTGCTCATGCTTTTCAATTTTAAAAAAATGGATACAATCTATTGGTGCTCGAATGCAAGCCACAAAGAAGATTGAACAATCAGCAGATGATATAAACTTGAATCAAATTGCACGTTTTTAATTAACAATCAAACCTGTTTTATAATTATTTCGTAGAAACTTTTATTTTCTTAATTTAAAATTTATAATTATTCAGTTACATATTCCGGAATCAATGTACAATTAATAATTATTTTTCATGTTTCTACTTATTTGAAAGTGCATTTAATAAAATTCAATTAACTACTTTAACGAATTGTATCGGATGAGTGTTTTTTAGTCCATCATTAGTAACCATTTGAATCTAATTGGTTTGATTTGAGTCCCGCAATTTTGTTTTTGGGTTCAAAAAATGTTCTGTATCTTTTGAGGCTGGAATAGGAAATAAGCTCGGCTTTCAATTGTTTTGAGTTTAAGAGCCTTTCAAACACTTGAAGATGAATTTCAAGCATTTTTGGAAGTTAATGTTGACAAAGGGAAGCACACATAGAAATGGTGGAATATTCTTAAAAAAAGACTCCATTTCACATTGACGGGTGAGTATTAGCTACCATGATCGCGATTTCGATTCGTGCTAAGAGGATCTTCATAAGGTGGCTTGAATTCGGATAATCCTAAAGGAAGGAGTAAACCCTTTTATCTTTCGAAATAGAATAAATAAAATTTCTGACGGCAAAATTGGCATCGCTCTTCAGTTGGGTTAAAATTCAGTGACATTTTAAACTATGTTGATGTTGAATTAATTAAAATTGTGGAATGTAATATTTTTAAAGCGTGTTTTACCATGAATATTATTATTGGAGGAGTTGATAGATCCAATTGTTTGATAAAGTATTGTTTATTATTATATAGCTGATGTGCAGATGGTATATTGATGTTGAATTGAGAATGGTTGATTATGTATTGTTGTAAAGAATGTTTGCTTTGAAGAAATTTTATTTTGAAATGAATAATAAAGTGACATCGTTCTTTTTATATAGGATGGAGGGGGCAACGGACTTTACATTGTATTGCGCCTTTGTAGGGAGTGTCGGTGCTTTGAATGCTATAAAATTCCATTGTTTATATGCAGATGCACCATTTTTTGGTATAATTTTGAATTTGAATTGTAATAAAAAAATGGTTTTGGTATGGAATTTCAGTAGGCGTATTTTTGAGATCGATGTTTCTTTGTTTATAATAATAAAAAAATACGCCCGCGAAGTATTTTCATATAGTGTTACATATTTTTATGTTGTTGTGTTGTAGTAGAGAAAGGGACTAGCACGGGAATTAAGATCATTGTTTTTGAGGTGTTTATACACTTGGGTGGGTTATTTGTGTTTATGATAGGTATTTATTTCTGTATTGAACGAAAACATAGTAGGAAAATGAATATGGGCGTGGGTGTGGGTGTACGTGGGTGGAGAAGAAATGCCTCTACTCATACACTCTAAAAAAAAGGTTTTTTACGAAACCATAAAAGGTTCTTCCCCTGGATACACGGGAAGAACCTTTCATGGTTCGGTAGAAAAAAGGTTTCGTAATATACACCAATTGAAAAACATGAACCAAAGGTTTCGTAGTGACGGTTCCGTACGAAACCTTAATGCCCAAAAGACTGAAAAGGTTTCGTAGCAAAGGTTCGGTACGGAACTCATATGTTCTAGCTATCAAAAAGGTTTGGTAGTAAAGGTTCCGCAAAAAAAGCTTTTTCGAAGCCCTGTAAAATGGTTTCGAAGAACCTTTGAACTACCATACCTATTTTACGAATCGAATCCAAGAGGTTTGGAACATTACAGGGTGAACCAAAAGTCACTTTACCGAGAAAGAATAGAATATCTCCGTAATGACTCAACCGAATGGGCTGATAATTTTACCGGCGATAGAGAAGTGTTCAAAGTTTTCTTTCATAAGAAACGTATTAAATCCTATCGTTTTGAAGTGTCATTTTTGATACGAATACAGAAGCTTAACTTTCAACGAGAAGGTATATACAATACTTTGAAAAATTTCTTATTCGATTTCAACTCCAAATGTAATCATTCAAGAGAAAAAATTGTTCTCTTTCGATCTATGCCAAGTCGAGCTCGATAGTTTGCTCCATTCAGGAGTTATACGCATTTTACCGGCAACCATGAAATTGGCTGAATAAACTTAAATATGAGTCGGGACATGAGTAATCGGCCACTGTGAGTCCGATAGTGATGTTTATTTTCAGTTTCAACGCCATATGAAGTCACTTTATCAAGATTTGAAAAAAAAACCGGTACTCACAGCACAACGGCAGGATGCTGGAACGTAAAAATCTTGATAAAGTGACTTCATATGGCGTTGAAACTGAAAATAAACTTCACTATCGGACTCACAGTGGCCGATTACTCATGTCCCGACTCATATTTAAGTTTATTCAGCTGATTTCATGGTTGCCGGTAAAATGCGTATAGCTCCTGAATGGAGCAAACTATCGAGCTCGACTTGGCATAGATCGAAAGAGAACAATTTTTTCTCTCGAATGATTACATTTGAAGTTGAAATCGAATAAGAAATTTTTCAAAGTATCGTATATGGGTCATTCCACCAGAAATCGCCAGCCGATCCGGCGACCACGCTCAAATTCATTCAAAGTTACAGGGTTTGTAGAGAATTTTGCGCTGATCATTTTGGTGATACATTTTTCTAGAATAAATTGTATTTTCGCGAAGATAGAGGTCAAATACAAAAAGTACACTTTTCTTTTTTAAAGTAAATAAAAAAAGCATTTTTTTTCGAAAAAATGATGAAAATCTCACTTTTTTCACTCGAATTTTAAAAACAACCACATATTCAGAATCCTTGTGAAAAACTGCATCAGAATCCATGGGAATTGAAATAATTTTGAAAAACTTTCACGGACTACTTGGTCGTTTTGCGATGCACTAGTGAGGCACAGTGTTTGAAAAATTTGCTGTGAAAGTCTGAATTCATAGAAATATTGGCACTAGCAGTTCGATAGAGTGAAACATGCTCTACAACATGTACGAGTTAGTTTTCTTCGCGACTCTAATTTTGCATGGAACGAGCACCAACACGGTTTTCGACGATACTTTTTTATTCAAATCTAATTATTTTACTTAAATAAGTATATCCAAATGCCTTAAGCTGTTTTAGAACTTGTAGAGCTTTTTACGCTGAGTATTTTGGTACTAAAAGATTGAATATTCAACTCTATTTTCATGAACATATTGGTAAAACAATAGAAGCATATATTTTGGTTTCTTGATTATGTCGCGTAAAAATGGATTTTTTTCACAAAAATGAAACGGATAACACCTTAGTATTGACTTAAACCATAAGTCTGATAGTGTATTCAGATTGAGCATGGAAAACTACAATAGAATGT